CCGGCAGTTTCTGAGCGGGCTACCCGCCCGCCTCGGGAGCAAACCCCGGTGGCTGGTTCACCCTCGCAGACCTCCTCTAGGGGAGCAGATGCGTCCAACTCGAGCGTCCCATCTCCCGAGAGGCAGAGCGCTTTTCATGCGTTTCTCTTATTCGCTACCAGTCAACTGTTGCTCCACAGATAACCTCCTCCCTCCTAGTGTTCTTCTCGTTCAACACGCTTTAATCTGCTTCAGTAACCTCCCTTCCCCGCCTTCAGCCGACCTCCTCGCTGTTGCGAGCATCTGGCTAGCTCGGGACTTCCTATTTAAGCTAAAAGCGCTGTTAAGTTGGAAATACGAATAGTTAGAACCTCACTGGAGAGTAAGTGTCCGAGGAGAGTTCATGCACTCCAGGTGAATTATTGTCGGGTCAAGAAACATTTTCCCCACGTCATGGCATGCTTCAGGGAATATTGCATATAACGTGGCACCCAAATGCGACGATTCCTACCACACATCGACCATCCTGAACATCACCCACCCCTCCCTCGTCCAGTCTGTTTGAAAATAGAGGTGAGAAGTTCAGATGGGCTTCTTAAGCTACATAGGAACGAGAAGAAACTGGAGGAATTACGGAATAGCGGCTTAGGTGATGGAGGTAGATGAAAGAAATCTCAGGCAGTTTATGACTGCAGGCTAGAAGAAGGTGATGTCAGACATGAGTATAAGCCATTATGAGCGGCCTGCTTGCTTTCATTGTAATATTGAACTTAGGCTTTGACATTTAAATGGTTAGGAGACAGTAGTGTGATGACCAAAAGCTATGCGTAATTTTCTCACGAGTCTCCCTTGATAGAAGTCCATCAGCGAGCATGGGCTAGCTAGAAAAACTATAAAGATTATTAAACTGTGTTTGAATACGCTATTTGATCTCTAGTGCTCTTTGACGTCAGTAAGTATTATCATTTACATGAAAAATCACTTCAACTTTGCTTGAACTCAAGTTACACCTAGCAAGATGGCAAGCATTTAAGATCAAACATCACAGCAATACCACACACCTTTATAAACACAGAAGCAAAATAATGACTTATTTTTTTAAAAAACCATAAGGATTTTTAAACAGGATGATTTCTCCTAATGGAGTTGAATTTTGCTAGGATTAGCACCTATGTCTGTTCAATGAGATATGTAATTTTTATGGGCCAGAAGTGGTTACAGAGTTGGTTTCCTTTATCCTAAAGAATGAATCACCATTAGCAATATTTGGAGTGATTAGCATGGATAAAACCATTCCAGCTTCTGTGAATCCACAGAAGTGTCAGGAATTCATATGGCTTATAGAAAAAATGTGCCTTTATTTTCAAGAATGAAAATAATTTTATTAATTGCACCTTTTCTGCAGGCTCTGGGCCCTATTTCATTTCATCCACAGAAGAAATATGGAAAGCGATACAAACTGCCAAGGTAAAATTAAATGCTAGATTTGTTCTCTTCCTTGTGCCCAAGCTGAAAAAGCGATAAAACAGCGACCTCTTTATATTAGTGAAACATAATTGGTAAGAAATTTAAGAAGTTGGATAATACTACAGGAGATAAGTCATCAATACATTCACAAATGTTACTTAAATGAATATAAAAAGGGAGATTTCATTATTAAGTCACATGTGCTGAGTAATAGTTTAAACTGATCCTTGCAACTCAGGTATTCTTCTCAGACGTTTTCTTTCAGTTCAGAAAAATGGTAAGGGTTATTGAGTGAAAAGCAGAAATTGTTACTTGGTTTACAAAGAGCATTTGTAAAACGTGTCTTACTTTTAGGTCACCCTCCAACAACAGTTAGATATAGAAGAGTGCATTTTGGTTTGGGAAAAAGTGTAATTTGCCATTGTTTATTAACATAGGCTGCAGCATGATGTGGCAAAAACTGCCAGAAAAATACATCAAAGTTTTTATAACATGTAGGAATCAGATTAATGGTTAAGAAAACTGGTCTTCTTGATCCCATATATTGCATGGATACGTACGAGAGGAGCAAGTTGTATCCATTAGAGGATTCAGGGCACTGACCAGAAGATTCACGCTTATTTATGAACACTGAAAACAGTGAAAATTCAACACTTTGCTTATGATATGTTTCATCCTGTGTTGGTTGTTTTCTTATTTTTGATTACAGTCTGGTCCTGTGATTCTAAGGACTATCTTTATGTTAAGTAGCTCACCCTAATTACCTACTGCAGTCATAATAATCTTGTTTATTTAGAAATGTCTTTGCTGTCTAGCCTGGGCAAGGCCAGCTATTGATTCTTTTAAGATAGTAATCAAAAGATACTTGTTTATAGTCTTCATTCACCAAATTCCCTGAAATGGATTTTACGGTATTTTAACCCAGTTAGGAGCTGCTGAAAATGGATTTGGAATGGTACTGGTGCCAAATCTTAAAGAATAGTATTTATGGCATAATAAAATACTGGTTTTAACTTTGCAAAATGAGTTCAGTTGTAATCTTTGAAAAGTAGGTCCTACTTGCCTCTGATTTGTGTCCCGTCTCTCC